GGCGAGGCGAGAGCCGGCAGCCGCCCTAGCCGCGGTACGTGAGACCCCGGGACAGCCCCCTTGTGTCGGGTTCTCCGAGGGCTGGAGGTGGCTCAAGTGTTGTCTTAATTGTACCAGGAATAGCGGGAACAGCAAAACCAGGAGTGGGGGGGGTGATTCTTCCCCTGTTCTGGGCACTGGCACACCTCGATTGCAGTGCCCAGTTTGGGAAAGAGAGGGAATTAAAAGCTCCCAGAAGCCTATTGTCTAATGTGTGGGTGCTGTGTAGTTTTGAAACCTGTTTTGTGGTGTTTGAAAGATGCTCACCTGCCCCATGGTTATAATGGAGTAAAGAAGAAGGGAACAAGCTGCAGGATGTAAGGATTGATACCCTGTAAGGTGATCAGAAATAAGGATCTCTGTGGAATCATAGAGTGGTTTGGGTTGGGAGGGACCTTAAAGATCATCCAGCTCCACCCCCTTTCTATGGACACCTTCTGCTTGACCAGGCTGTCCAGAGCTCCATCCAGCCTGTCTTGCACACTTCTACAGCTTCTCCGGACAACCTGTGCCAGTGACCAACACCTTCCTTAGGAACATATTCAAAATACTCAAAAAATGCTTTCTAAACTCTTTCTAGGTGACCCTCAAGAGGCTAAGGTTGACGCCTTTGACTTTCCCATCCCTTCAAGAAACGTTGATAAAGTCATTAAACGAAAGAAGAAAAAGGTATAAAGTGTGGCAGCTCAATTAGCTGCCTTGGCATTTGAGAAAGCTGCTTGTTCTCTGTGTGTGAGAGCATGAGGGAGATTAAAAGATGGAATTGGTAGCCTGTTACTGAAAACCTTACTTACAGAAAAGAAAAAATGGTATTATCTTCCCTCTCTGGAGGCTTTAAAATTCTGGCTCTTATTCAATAAAGCACTTAAGTATGTGCTTACCTTGAAAAATGAGAGTATGGTGTTGACTTAAAAAGCCTGTACTGAAATGCTTTGCTGGATTTGGGCCAGGGTGCAGCACACCTTGGGGTGAAACCCAGCAGGGAAAAGCTCTGCAGCTCCTCTTCCTCTCATGTTTTAAACAAAGAAATCCCATGAGTTACAAATAAGCGAAGGCAGGAACCCGAGCTATTAACGCCATCCTTGGAGCAATGCAGAATTACTTTCTGCTTCACAAATGTGTTTCTGTTCCTGTTCAGTAGTTCGACAAATGCCTGAAATTTTAACAGGAACATTTGTTAAGCCGTAACTCATTATGAGATCCTGTAATGTGTGAAGTACAAGTAATCAGCTGGACTAGAACAGAGCCATGTTGTAGATACTTGATTTAAAAACAGCAAAATGCTACCAACTGCAGAGGAACAGCTAATAACATCCTGGAATATGGCTCTCCTGGTGCATTGAATAGTCTTCAAAAACATGAGGAAAATATAGAATGTTTTAGCAATAAATGTCCTCGAGAAAGGAATTATCTTTAGATTTAAACAAGTTTCTCAGATGAGGTCCAGCAAAAGTCCAAACATCAGCGTGTCAACAGCCATTTCTATTTGTTAGGCCACCTCTGCCTGAATGCTTTTGTCTGCAATTCCAATTTAATCTTTCCAATGCACAAGTTTGAAACGTGTCCACTAATAGACAGAGCTTTATGCCTCTAAAATAAAGGTTTTCAACATCTATAAACAAATTAATGTGGATTTGATAGGAGATAGGCAAGAGAATTGCTATTCTGGAATCTGAGTTTGGGCCTCAGTTTTGCTGCTGCTTGAGTTGGAAGAAACCTTAAACACCATCTAGTTCCATTCCCTGCTATGTGCAGGGACACCTGTTTCTCACATGGGAAACTTTTTGCTCCTGGAAAACTACACAATCTTTTATTGCCCCTCATTTTGGATGACTTTGAAGAAAGCTTAATGGCTCTACACACGTTTTAATGAGCTTTGCTCATCTAGAAGGGCACTTCTCAAGTCCTGGGTAAACACAAGAGTTCTAGGCAAGAAAGGAGGTGGAGATTTCATGTGAAAAATCATGGAGGAATTTCTGGTTTTGACTTATAAATAGAGGTAATTCTTCCATATATCCCACATTCCTTCTTCCCTTCTTTCCCAGTCCTCAACAGAAAAACCCAGCTGCACTTCATAGTCATTGTGGGCAGTTCAGAGTTCTGCCCTATAGATGTTTTAATGCAAACTTCTTATATGTTTCACATTTTATCTTTCAGTCCAAAATCTGGCACAAGGTCTGGAAAGTGATTTCAAAAATGCTTGAGGAAAATGAAAGGTTCAGAAGTCGACTGTTGACCTGCAGCCAGTTGGATGGAGAAGGTATGAAATTAATTGCTAATGTTTTATTTTACTAGGGAAAACAAATTGTTAATACAAGTGAAGACCCCAACATTTAAGGTCCCTTCAGCTGTTTTTTGTGGTAGTAGGTTTTACAACTCACAAATGGAATTTGTTCCATGCTTTAGGCACTTCCAACTTTTTTGGAAAAAAACCTTTTGTTTCGTGGAGGATCTTGTATGTGTTAATTTGGAGGAAGGATGGTGGAAGTGTTTGCTGCAGCCTGACATTAAAGATATGCACATCAAACATCTGCAAGTTTTTCTGAACATGTGAAATACGTAATTAAACTTATTCACAGAGGGGTCCAAGGCAGTAGTTGTATGAATAATAATTTATTTTTTCACGTAGGAAAATAGTGGTTGATTTCATACATACAATAAATAAATTAGATGCTCCCCAAAGGTTGCTGTAACACAATTTAACAAAACCATGGAACATGTTCTCACTCTGTGCCCTGAATGCAGCTCTTTCATTACTGGAAAATGACTTGGGAATTAAAACTGGTGTTCTGCATTCAGCCAATTTCAATTAGAGGCATTGTAGCTGCTGCACAGTTTAAGATAATACAGTGTATGCTTACAAATGGAATTGGAATTTCTGGCTTCACAGTTGGATGAATTATTAGGAAAAAGAATATACTAATCCATGAAGAGCTACCAGGCAAGTTTAAAATGCCACTTTCAGGCACAGCACTTTTTCTTCCCTTGCATTGGTGCTGATGGTAATTTTCCACATGGGGGCATGTTGGGGTGAATCCCAAAATGTAGGACCATTCCAGGCAGTGTCTTATTGGGTAAAATGTTGGATTAAATTTCCACACACATGGCAAGAAAATACACCCTCAAAAATCTTCTTCATGAGAAAAGAGGTCCAATTCTGGTTCAGAACAGAAATCTCTACTCCAGTGGATGTTATTGAATAGGAGGAGAAATTCCACTGGAATATGCTTCAACAACTTCTTCTGCAATTATTGTGCAAATATTCTGCATTGTGTGCAAAAACACTTCTTCTGTTGGCTTTAAACCCAATTCCTGATTAATTCTGGAATTATGACATGATATTAATTATTCATCATGTGCTATTCATATTTATATTCAGGGTTCCATTGGCCTCTGTCATATTTCTGTGCTAAGTTCCAATCTAATAAATCTCTCCTCCCATGGAAGCTGTTCCATGTGCTTTCTCCCAGAGCTGAGATCATTGCAGAAGTGTGTGTGCAAAGCTATTAATTTATATGTTGGACATATATCTATGTGGAAGACTCACCCATCCATGGATATATAGGACAGTGAATTTTTAAAAAAAAAAAAACCTTCCTGGATTTGTCTGTTTGATTTCAAGAAAAAGAAGAACAAGTATCAAGAAAAAAGGAGGAGAAATCTTTACTAGGTTATTAGATTTCAAGTTATTGTAAGGAAAAAAAACCCCAAATTCTGCTTGTATATGATTTCCTGGGTGGATTTGCCGTCTTACCCTAATGGCTGCTTTTCTGTTTGTGATGGATCACCATGTGCTGTTTAACCTTGGATTTCTGGACAGGGCCTGTTACCTTTTCAGCCACTCATTTCTTTCAGAGAAAGAGCATTTTCTTTATATATAATTGCAGTGACTTGAAAAACCTCACCAACCAACTAATCCCTCCTCCTCCCCTCTTACTCAATCCTTAATTGTAATTTTACCCCCTTTCTCAGGAGCTTTAACTGAGAATTTCCTATTAAGTCTTATTTCAGTGAAAACCATCAATTCTAATACCTTCTTTCTAATTAGCAGATTTTGCACAACATCAAATCTAGGAGATAAGTCTCCTATTGATCTGAATTTTTCATTAATCAAGAAGCAAATGGAATAATTCTAGAAGTTATTTAGATAGGGATCAACAAGTCGGAATAAACTGGGTTCATTTTTATCTTCTTTTTTATTTTCCCTAGATTAATAAATCTAGAAAATTAATGCTGCATTTTATTGCCTCTATAAATAGGTTTTTTTGAGAGAACAAAAGTCTACTTGAATTTTAATGCTACCTATTTGCTCCTTGGAATGTTGCAATTAAGATTAGATTCCATGTGACTGCAAATGATGATTTTCCTCCACCTGATGTTCTTCTGCAGGCTCTGACAGGACCCAGAGGTCACAGAATGGGGCATACCTGGACAGGGTATGTACACAGTCTATTAAAGGCCAAAAACCCTCTAAAATATTAAATTAATGATATTAAAAGCATGCACTGATCTTGTTTAATGTTACTATAATAAGTGGCAGTTATTTTTTAAAGTATTACTGACATTGAGCTCAAATATTTTCAAGGTTTCAGATTTGGGGCCACAGCAGCTCCATCCTCACAGGGAGGGCTCTGTGCTTTGCCAGGGCAAAGGGAGGTTTTTGCCTTTTTCTTCTTGAGCTAAATCCTTCCCTGGTGGTCTAAAGTACAATCTGAAGAATCTGAACAGTCTTTATTTGCCCCACTTGATATAGAGACCTTTTTTTTTTAATATTAATGGGAATGTACCAACTCACTTTTATCACTTTTTTCCTCTAGGATGAGTCCGTCTTTGGCTGGGTGTAGCAAGGAAATAAAGGAAGATTCAGCCCCAAAGGAAATATAAGCAAAGTGAAAGCTTTGATTTTGATCTAGTTCTTCCTGGAGTCAGTGCAAGACTGCAAAGTGACTTCAGGGAGCACAGGTTCTCTGTTGTTTGCTTGGTGTTTGTGCTTCTGCTGTTTAGGAGGTTTGTTTTTACAGTGGCTTAAACAGCTCTGTTGCAAGATATTTATCTCAAGCCATTAAGTCTAGTGTTTCACTGAGCTATTAGTTTTAGAAAGCTTTTTAATGAGCATAATATTGTGACAGTTTTCTTGCAAAAGAATAGATACACATTTACTGTTGTCTCCATATTTATATCTTTTATTTTTGTAGCTTGTCAGAAGAATAAACACAAATTCAGTAAGGCAAAACTCCACACAAGACATAAACCCCACTTTCCTTTTTTCCTGGTTTGCATAAATTTGCCTTTATGGTATTAAAATATTACACAATAACCCTCTCTGTTCTTTCATCCATTTATACATGAATCTCAGCAAGTATTTGGAATATGAAACCAGGTGAATGTTTTCTCTCTCTGTTCATCCTGAGGCACATAATGGTACCATCACAATCGGGAGGTGTTGTTTATCTACCTGACTTCAATAACACAATATAATTTTCTTCTGTTCTGCAGCTTAATACTTGAACCCTTGATTGACTGTTAAAGCTTTTTAAGCCAGCAAATTGTGTAAATGGAACATGAAAACTGCATAAAAATAGTTATGTATATGGGGTTCATCTGAGGAGTAAAACATTCACCTGTCACAATGAGAGCTCCTTGCTTTCAATAAAAGGATTGTTTTCTCCTGCCAGAATGTCGTGGTGTTTGCAGATAAAATGACTGCAGTGTCAGAGTGCTGAGCTTTAATAACATGCTGGTGATGGTGTCATTAGGCAGCAAAGCACTTGGAAAGGTTTCATCTCTGTTTTCTTCATGGTAAAACTGCAAGTGTGGAACTGGAATGCACCTTTGCAGGTGCAAGGTTTTCTTCTGGTTTGTGGTTGGGTAATATTTGGATTTTACTTAAAATAGTTGACATTTCAGCTTGGAAAAGGAAATGAGAAGGCAAAGTATTCAATCAAGATGTGATCATTTTTCTGGCAGAACAAAAATGTCATAGTTCTTTGCTATTTTCAAAACACATGTTTAGAGTCACATGTGGGATTTTGGGGGGGGTGAGGTTTTTTTTTTTACTAAATGAGATGATCTCCCCGTCCCCTCAGTTCTATCAATGAAATGTTTACATTGGGAATATTTAGTTTATAATCCTGGTTTGTAAATTGTAGAGTTGTTTCTCTAACTTTTCTTTTCTTGTGAATTGCAGCTGCAGTTGGTGCTTTACTGGCACAGACTTCAGGGGCCCTGGAAACACTTTTCTTCCAGATGCATAATTGCTACTTTAACAGGATAGATGAGGTGCATTAACCTAAATCTCTGCCTGAAGTTTAGCCAACACATTAAGATTCTTTGCATAAATACAGACCTCTGTCTTTGGGGCTGTTTTAAAAGAAATTATAAAAGATAAGTATGGCCTTAAATCATCCCTATGCACCTCCTTCAGTCTAAAGGCTCTGTGTGGTGATGAGATAATTAATTGGTTGGGATCTACTAATCCAGAACTTTCATTTGGCAATACTTTGAAAGGCTCTTACATTTTTCAAATCACTTTGGGCCAGAACAGCTGTTGCACTGGGGAGAAACTGCTGATTCGGGTTCAATTTTTGACTTTTTGGGTAAGGAAGTCTGGCTGTCTGCTGTAGTGACCAGATTTCAAAGGTGCAGTTGGGAACAAAGGTCATCAGAGCAGTTAAAGTGCTGAAAAAAGGGCCTGCAAACCAGATCACCACCCCAATCCACTCAGACCTCTGTGCATTCCTTTTTCATTCATGTGATCCTTTAAGTGTGAAATGCAAAAGAGAAAAAGGTTTGGATAAACATGAAAAACTTCATTGAAACCCTCTTTGGTAAAAGGGGTGAGAAGTAAATAAGGGACCTTCAGGGCACTGGATCACAGAGTAGAGATTCAGAAAAGAACTGATTCTCCTCTGAAGACTTTGATCTTCACTGCAGAGCCAAGAGCAAGTGTCACACTGTCCTGCTGTGGCTCCTGAGCACCACTGCTTCTCCTTCACATTCTTCAAAATGCAGCTCAGTTACCTGAAGTTTTTAATAACAAATCTCCCTCGGAGTGTGAACTGAAGCAGATGTGCAAATACAGAGGTCACACTTTGTCTTTGCTTTGCCTTGCCCTCAGTGCATAATTTACCTTTCTATACAGAACAGAAACTGCAGCTTCTTCCCAAAGTTTGACATTTCTTCATCTCAGCTCTGTGAACAGTTGCCAGGAGATCTGAGGAGGCTCCTTGGGATACAGAACTGGAAGGGAACAGCCAAGGCACACAGAGTAGCCAAAGGCATTGCTGCTGAATTTGTTATTTGTAAATAATGGTGTCAGACACTTATCTCATGATCCAAAAGCTGGTCTGGATAATCTCTTTTCCCTATCTGCCATAAATACAAGACTTTGGATAAAGGTAAGCAGTGGAGAGTAAAGCCTTTGGGGTTTGTGTCACTGTTCCATGCTAGCTGGAGATTAATTGGTCCAAGTTCAGCTGGAAATAGCACAAAACATCCTGACATGTTTTGGTTGAAGTTATCCCATTTGAGGAGTTCTTGCCTGGTTCCTGGAGCAGCTCAACCCAGGCAAGTCTGCCTCAGAGTGCTCTGTCCAGGGCCTGGAGGCTCCAAACTCCAGCTGGTGCCTCTGGGCTGCCCCTTCCAGGGCTGTGAAGCTGGGACGTGCTGGGAGCCTGAGCTCCACAGAGATTTCCATGGCTGGAAGCACTGAGAGCTTGGCTGAGGCTGGACTGCTGGAGCTCCTGCACTCCCTGCTTGTTGTAGTGTGTTGTTAAGTTTCTTGTGTTATTCCCCCAATTTATGTATTGTTCTCCCCTATTATGTGTAAAATGGTTT